TTTCCCATGGGCTAGTGAAAGGCTTTTGCTTTTCTGAACCCAGGAGGAGAAGTAGAGCTCCTGGCTGGTTTGGAGAGGAGGACGCTCTGGAAAAGAGTCAGAAGGAAAACTGCTGGAAAAGGAGACGGTTGTTCTTTTGTATAAAGCAGGGAGCAGTGCACTGTGTGTGCTGTGGTGCTTTCTTTGGAGATACACTAAGTGCCCTGTGCAAGATCATATAATGTGGAATGGAGTCAGTGTCTGCACAGACGTACCTGACACACAGGATGCTGGTAGGTGTAGTCAAACTGAGTTCTTGGGAAATCGAGTGGAAAGAGGTTTCAGCGGGAATCCCAACAATAGGGTGCACTCAACAGCACTCCATTTGCCACAGCTCCCATCAGATCCTTTAGCCAGGTCGGTGTCCCTGCCCAGCATATGCACCTTCTCTGCCCTTTCCCTGTCCCCAGCTCCTGTGTGTTCCAGGGTTACTGCCGGTCAAAACCGTCCCTTCCCCACATCGCTCCATTCATTCCCCAGCATTAGTCTCCCCCTCTCTCTTCCCCGCTCCCATCCCTCTCAAACCCAGATTAGGTGGCGGGAGCTGGGAAGGGAACCTGGTAACCAAAGTCTATCCCATTAAATCCTGATGCCCAAATTGCATTTGATAACTAAACCTTAAAAAAAAAAAAAAAGCTGTAAATCCTTCATTCCACTCCCTCTGCAACTGGAGAAGAGAAAGGAAAATAAAGTGTGGGGGGGAGGGAGGGAGAGTGGATAATATATATGGGAAGAGGTTCTGTGTATTGGTGTGCATGGAAGAGAATTGAAAAGGAACCCTAACAACCTAGTATTGGGTCATTACCATACCCTGGATTTCTGATCGGAGATTAAAATATAAAACTCCTATTCAGTTTTATTTGTATCTTTGGTGTGCAAATCAAAAGTCTTTATTGGAATACCTCCCACTCCTATTGTTGTGCCATTAATTTCAATAATAAATACCCTGCTAACCCCAAGTAGCCCAAAGCCATCATACTCGCAAGAGAATGACTTGTTTGTTTGTGACTAAAGTAAAACACCTAAAGATGGCTTGGCCTGCAGAGAGTTAGTCCCAGTACAGAACCCAATCCATATTTCTTCTCTGCTTTCCTGGTTGTCTATTATATAGTTAGGTCCAAGCTAAGAAGTTCTTATACTGACCTGGATCCAAAGTTCAGAAGGGGCCATTCAGACCCAGCGTTCCACTTTTGCCCAATCTGTAAGGTTAATGAGACAGGTTTATAGTTATAAGAGAGAATAATTTGCAGATCGATTTGGAAATGTACATGCATTATCTGGCTAACTAAATGCACTAGTGCTGGGTAAGGGACTGTTTTGTTCTGTGTTTGTACAGCACCTAGCACAATGGAGACCTGGTCCATGACTAGGGTTCCTACGTGGTGTGGTCATACAAATAATAGGCCTGAGATATTGAACAGTTTATCTAGTGTTAATGAATGAAGTTCCTTGGTGAGAGTTTGAAGTAGCTTGTGAGTTCACTTTCAGCCCCATTCACACAGATTGTTGCTGTTTATTTCCCATTAAAAATTTCAATCTAGATATATTATTCGGACCCTCTGAAGTTCTTTGATCTTTTTGATGTGATTTCACAGGACCCTCGCTTTTCACTTAGCACTTATGTGGCATGGTTTATTCATAGACCTCACAGTGTTTAACAAAGGGAAGGCAAGTGTCACCCCCATTTTACAGAGGGGGAAACTGAGGCACAGAGTTGGCAAGGCCAAATTTTTGAAAAGTGGCTTCTGATTTCAGATGCCTTACTTGAGACACCTTAAAGGCCTGATTCTGGGCATTGCTGAGCCCCTATAGCTCTGAGTGACTTCAACCGGAGTACAGCACCTGTGTAAATCAGATCAAGTGTGTCATTGGTGGGCACCCAAAAATGGAGACACACTAAATGTGAGGCCACTTTTGACAAACTGGCCTTGCCTCAGGACACACAGCGAGTCAGTGGCAGAGCATGGAGTAGAAAATAGATCTCCTGGAAGGGCTTTAAATGGCGAGAGGGAACGGTTTGGAAAGTGCCTGTAAATGTCGAGAGGGTAACGATTTGGAAAGTGCCTGGGGGAGGCAATTCCGTGTGAAAGGTGGCATGGAAATAAACAGTGTTGGTTTTCCGAGTAGAATACACTCCCCCCACCTCAAAACTTAACTCCCTTCCTGTCTTTTCAGCGGGGAGCTCTACTCTGGGTTTACAGATGGAAGATAGGTCAATCCCCGCCTCTCAGGCCAGGGCTGAGATGAGGAGAGTAGACATTTCTCCAGCCCATTCAGGTTACTGAGGGGAGGGGTCACTGCAGATAGTATTTTTGGTCCATGCATTAATACTGTGTCCAAGCCCCTAACTTCAGAATTAGCCTCTCCAGCACAAGGCCCACATTCCATCTTCCACTGAGGCAGCCAGGAATTACTCTGCCGCAATTATTCCTCCTCCTTTCTCTCCATTCTCATATAGTCTTTGCTGTGGGAAAGCTAACTGCAGTGAATGGTGGTGGGATCCATGTGTAACCCTTCAGCCAGGTGGAGCCAGCAGCAACCAGGGCCGGGTTCAATATCTTGGGGTTCCTTTTCAACAATACAATACAGAACTGGCTCAAGCCCCCACTCAGTAACCTGGGGAAATTATTCACCACCCCTGGGTGCCTCTGAGAGGCAATACTTCCCCTCTTGCAAGCACAGAGTCTGAGTGTAGAAAATAAACTTTTAATGAAAGGAGGGAAGTCACCCAGCATTAATTAGGGAAAATGCCACAAGCGGGATTCATAATCACAAAACCGTGAGCAAAACACCCATCCCAGAGTATGTTGGGCAGCGTCTTTTGCCTCAGGTTCTTGAGTCCAACAACCAAAAGGGCCTTTAACCTGCCCCCGCATTCTCCCTCCACCACATCCCACTCACAGTGGTTGTCCTTGGTCAGCGAAGACTCAGAGTTCAGAGCTGTATCTGCTTGAGTTCAACTCCCATGCTGTGGGGGTTGGAAGGGAGAAGGCACCTTGCTCGCTCTTCCATCTGAGCGCTTGCTCTGGTGTTGCCACGCCACTGGTTGCTCCGACCCACTGGCAGGGTAACCCAACAACACAGTTCCTGTCTGCTCATACCTAGGCAGAGTGGGTGTGTTCATGTAAATACAGTCTGGTCCTGAGGTATTTTCCCTTCCCCAGCTCATCATTAGCTGTCAGGGGAGAGTTCATTCAGACCTTGCATACATACAGTTATTCCCCTCCTTCTGGAGCAATTCCAGTCTTGGACCAGCTAAAGCTCCCTTGCTGCAATTTAAGCCCATTGCTTCTTGTCCTATCCTCAGATGTTAAGGAGAATAATTTTTCTCTCTCCTCCTTGTAACAACCTTTTATGTACTTGAAAACGGTTATGTCCCCTCTCAGTCTTCTCTTCTCCGGACTAAGCGAACCCAATTTTTTTTCAATCTTCCCTCACAGGTCATGTTTTCTAGACCTTTAATCATTTTTGTTGCTCTTCTCTGGACTTTTACCAATTTGGCCACATCTTTCCTGAAATGTGGCACCCAGCACTTGACACAATACTACAGTTGGTCTCAGTTAACAGTTCTGATAATCTTCACAGCTGCAGTCTAATAGCTACATGACGAAAGACTTCACAAGAACCAAACTATGTAGCAATGAATTAACATTCATGCTTTAGGGGATTTACTGCATTCTACATATTGGCAGGTAGCATTTTAATAGTATAATTTTCTGCCAATATGTAGAATGCAGTAAATCCCCTAAAGCATGAATGCTACAGTTGAGGCCTAATCAGCGTGGAGTAGAACAGATTAATTACTTCTCATGCCTTGCTTACAACACTCCTGCTAATACATCCCAGAATGACGTTTGCTTTTTTTGCAACAGTGTTACACTACAACAGTGTCTCATATTTAGCTTGTGATCCGCTATGACCCCCAGCTCCCTTTCCGCAGCACTACTTCCTAAGCAGTCATTTCCCATTTTGTGTGTGTGCAACTGACTGTTCCTAAGTGGAGTACTTTGCATGTGTCCTTACTGAATTTCATCCTATTTTCTTCAGACCATGTCTCCAGTTTGTCCAGATCATTTTGAATGATAATTCTGTCCTCCAAAGCACTTGCAACCCCTCCCAGCTTGGCATAATCCGCCAACTTTATAAGTGTCCTCTCTATACCATTAAATCATTGATGAAGATATTGAGCAGAACCAGACCCACGACTGATCCCATGGTGACAGGTGCGCTTGGCATATGTAGACAGACATGGGGGCAATGGATCAGGAAGTAGCTGCCCTGTGGGGGGGGAGGGAGGAGAGAAGCAGGCAAGGGGTTGGGTGGAGAAGGCAGTGGCAGGGGGGGGAGGTAAGGGTGTTGCTGGGAGTCAGAAAGCAGCACTGTGGCAGGGAGGAAGCAGTAAAGCACCAGGGCTGGCTCAAGCAACTCTGGGACCCCGCAAAGCCACTCATTGGGCTGCAGCGCCCAAGTCTCCCTAAGTATAAGTATAAGCAGAGTCTCCTTCTCCCCACGCCAGCCTCCTTTCCCAGAGCAGCTGCGGAAAGGAGAAGGGCTCCCTCAGCCCCGCGGGGAAAGCGAGCGCCTCCCACACGCGGCGGCGGAGGAGCAGTCCCTGGAGGTGTCCTGTTACACAGGAGAAGGGGGGGACAACTGCGATGCGCCCCAGCCTATGAGAAAAGGAAAGATCCCGCTGACACCCCCGGGCCCAGGACACCGCGGGGCAGCTCGGGCCCCGCGTGGCTGCAAGTCTGGCAGCCGCCGCCAATGCCATGCGGCTCCCCAGTCGCTCTCCTGACTCGTTCCGCCGCTCGCCGGGGGCGGCCGGCTTCATTCAGAAGTTTTGGAGCGCTGCCGCCTCGCGTCTGGGGAGGGTCTGACCAATCGGATCCCGCAGTCATGCATAAATTAGTCAAGCCCATCTGGCCATGGATCAGGTGACTCCCAATTCCCGACTTTAACAACTACCCCCCAGCCCGCCTCTTGGCAGGAGCAACGCTTCACCGGCAGCGCTAGGCGCCTTGCAGTTGCTCTTCTCGTTTTCTCCTTTTCTTTCTCTCTCTCTCCTCTCTCTCTTTTTTAACTTGCTACGTTCTCTTTCCTTCTTCTAGGGGAGGGATGCTAAGAAGCGCTGTGCCTCTGTCACCCCAGCTCTGATTGGAATACGGCCAGCAGCAGTAAAAGAGAAAAGACCCCCCCACACACACACACAACAAAAAGAAAAGATCCTGACTTGTTTAAGCAATGAGAAGCTCTGCTTTCCTGCTGTGCATTGGAATCGTATATTGCATTGAAGCGAGGGACTCCGCACCGGTTGCAAAGGAAGAACTGCTGAAAGGTAATTTACACCAGAAATTACTGTAAGGATCGGTGCAACAGTTGTTTCATTGACTTAACGCATGGATTAGGCATAAAACTACAGTCAGAGTCCACAAAAAGAACAGGAGTACTTGTGGCACTTTTTGCGCATACAGACTAACATGCTGCTACTCTGAAACCAGTCAGATTCCAGTCATTTATGTGCCCCACTTATAACTCCATATTGATTTTAACTTATTCTTGTCTATGCTCCTTTGGTTGTTACAGTACCTACTTTCATACTTTTTTTGTATGGGTTATTAAATACGCTGGTATTGTAAACATAAAGTTCATATACATTTAGTTTAACATAATGGTTTAGTTCAGGTGGATTTCTCCACCTGAGACAACAGTCTTGATTAATAGATACATACGAGGCACTAAAGTTTCAGATTTAAGGGGATAACTGCTGGGAGAGGTTGCTCTATTACTGTAATAGCAAACATCTTAAGAGAAAACTTGCTGTGTGATTTCTTTTGAAGTATTTGACAAGACTAGTGTGTAGAAAGCTGGTACACGCATCATACAGTGTAGGCATGGGTTAGGAAATAGAAGTAGCCTTTTTCAGCTGAACGGGTAGACGAGCTAATGCTCTAGGAATGTATGAAAGTTCCCCCTAAACGTTAGAAATATTTTACTCACTCTACAAGCTTTAAGGCATAAGCAATATTCTCTAGCACCCCTAACTAACTGTCACTTCTTTCTTTGGAAGCCTGGATGCAGGAAACCTGTTAGATATTCTCACATACACATGTTTTCATAGCTAGTTCTGCTCACGTGTTCTCATGAGCTGCCGAGTCCTGCTGCATTCTGTAACATGACAGAGACAAGGAAAATGGCATGTTGAGGTGATCAAGACACACGTAATCTCATGTTAACATGTGCTTGATCCTACGTGTTAGCTGTAAGATGCTAGTAAAGGCATAGAGGTCTAAAGCAGGTGTACTTCCACTGAAGTCACAGGAGTGGCATGAGGGCTGGATTTCCTTTCCGTTTATAAAAGTTGCACTTACAGTAAGACTAGACACCAATTTTGAAATGAAATTAAATTGATTCAGTGTCAAATATAGCACTTGCTGCTCCACAAAAACCCAGCTGTTAATCAGCCCCTGCCTCCACTTCAAGTTCAGATGGGAAGGTGAAAGGCAAATTCTGTAACTAACCCTTTCTCAGAACTACCATCAAAGTCAATGGGGATTTTGTGCTAATAAGGGCTGCAGCATTTTCCATGGATAATTAGATTTTGGAAGGTCAATAAATTTTGGCCATGCTCTTGAAAGCCAATCAACATTATCTACTCTGCATAACTGACTTACACTAATTAAATGGACAGCACAGTATCCCCCCATGGCATCCTTCTGGACACCTCCCCTCACCCCTGTCATGTCTGTGAATTCCAAACCAAACTACTGTGGCTAGCAGACTGAAGTGACTGGGCAGCTCACCAATCTGTAATCAGGATAGTTTGCCATACTGTGTAGGAGATCCTGGGTGAAGTTCAATTACAGCAAAGTGGCTGAAGTCCCAATCTTCCATTAAAGAAGCCCCAGGCCTCAGAAAAGTTTGGATATTACCGAGAAACCTGTTTTCCAAAACTGTAGAAGAACACGGCATGAAGCTTCTTGCTTTGACAGAACAAAAGCCAGCTGTTGAGCTGGAAAATGCTGCTCTACTGGATGCAGGATAAGTAGGGGGATGTAGTGTCTGACTTTGAATCACTTGCAGAGGATGTAGACAAGGGCATTTACGGAAGTTGAGGTATCCTCCCTATGCAGCTGTCTCTGAAACTACATGCCAGCTGGTATCTTTTAGAGGTATCTTTAGAAGTACTGTATTGTGTAAGCCAGAAAATCACCTCCCCTTCTTCAAATTGAAGAAGTGGAGAATCTGATTTCCCATCTCCCAGCCTTCATTTGATACCAAAAGGGCAGCAAACAAACTCTTAAAATACTCCTCCTTCTCTGTGTTTAAAAAATAAAACCCTACTTTGCACTTACTTTGTTGAATCAGACCATAAAAGTAGTAACCATGCACCCTGCTGATCTGTCTCCAGATGACACTATTGCTGAGCTGCTGAAGAAAGAAAAAGAACTTGCACAGGCTCAAAAACTACAAGTGAAGTTTAATCTTCGCTCCTCCACAGTTCCAGGGGGCGAAGGCTGCTTTCTCTCCATTGGCCAAGACAAATGTTTAGAGGACTGCAAATTCAATTTGACAGCTAAAACCTTCTTTATTATTCATGGATGGACAGTGAGTATGGGGAATTCTGTGTAGCTCTAGGCACTACTTAGTTTTCTTTGTGCTCTTTAACTGGGCAGCACAAATGGCTCTAACAATATTATTTGGTATGCTTGAGTTTCCATGCATGTGTCTGTGTCTAGAACAGAGGTGACCCCTAGAAGGGGTGTGTGGGGGGTCAGAGGCAGATTAAGATTTATTGGGGTCCTGGGCACAAAGAACATTTGGGCCCCTCCACATTTCCTCCCCCTTCCTGCCACGGGCCCTGTCCCCTGCTCACTCCCTTCCCGCAAGGCCCTGCCCCCGGCCTGGCTGGAAGCTGGGGCCGGGGTAAGAGCTGCCCAGGGAGCCCAGGCTATTATGGGGAGCCCTTGACCTTTCACCTTCCCATGGGTGGCAGGGACACAGGCCGGGGGCTCCCAGGCACCTCAGCCCCCTGCCCAGGGAAGATGGAGGGCTCTGGGTTCCCCACAGCAGCCCAGGCTCCCTGGGCAGCTCTTATCACAGCCTAGGGTGGTGGCCCCCAAACTGTGGGGTGTGTCCCCTTAGAGGGTCACAGAGGAATATTCGGGGGGGGTACAGTGAGGCTGGGGGAGGCGCAGTGGGGCTTGGCTCAGCCCCCAAAGGGGAGGGGTGGGAGCGCCACCCAGCCCTGCTCTGCCCGCAGCTCCACTCTGGGCCCACCCCAACCCCAGCTATGGCTCCGTTCCCAGCTGCGGCTCCGCTTCTGGCTGCGCCCCAGCCAGACCTCTGGCCATGCTGCTGACCGCGGCCTCACTCCCAGCTCCTGACCGCAGCTCCTGGCCTCAGCTTCGGGGCGGTAGGGAGGGGCGTGGACCATGGATGGGGAGGAGGGGGACGACTGGAAAAGTTTGGGGACCCCTGGCCCAGGGTGACTATATGTCCTGTTTTGGCCCTGGGTGTCCCAACTTTTTTGGCAAAATTGGGCATTTGTCCCTCCCCCTTTGCTCTTGCCAACTGATCACCAGTTGGCAAGACCAAAGGGGACAAATGCCCAGTTTTTCCCCAAAAGGGGCTACGAGAACGGGGGTGACCGGCAGGATCAGGCCAGCCCTTGGTGGGGGGAAGGGGGCCTTGGATGAGCGGCTCGGGATATCTCTGCATGGCGGGAGGGGCTCAGACAGCTCCAAGCTGGGGGAGTAGCAGAAGAGGGGAGGACTATACTCTCTACCATAGGCTCCTCTTCTGGCCTGGCCTGGTCTCGAGGTGGGGCCTCAGGGGGAGGGGGAAGCAGAGGAGCTGTGGGGGGAAGAAAGTACCAGCGCTCCTGCGTGGCCTCCAAATTGGCCAGGGCACCCTGGGCCTGTGCGGTAATCTGCCACTGCAAGTGCCCCCCCAGATTGGCCTTCTGAGGATGGGGAGGGAGAGGGGCTCCCCCCAACATGTTCAGACGCTCTCCCCGGCAGCCAGGTGGCAAGCGGAAGGGAGCTGCTTCTGCATGAGAGAGCCTGGCTTGGAGGCAGTGGCGGCTCACTCCTTGCCCAGGCTCGGCTGCCGGGGACAAGAGCTGAGCGAGCCGGAAACATGCCAGGGCGGAAAGGGGCTCTGGCTTGCTTGGCCCTTGTCCCCGGCAGCCAAGCCCGGGCAGGGAGTGAGCCATCGCTGCTTCCCAGCCAGGCTCTGTGCCAGGGAGAGCAGCCAAACGTGCGGGGGGTGGGGTGAGGAGGCGCAGGGAGAGAAGGACAGAGGCCCTTCCTCCCACCACAAATAACGTGGGGCGGGGAGAGCTCCATGACCCAGGCTGGGGGGAAGGTGGTGTCACTGGGCAGAGGAGATGTGGGGCAGTCATGTGTCCTCCCCTTTAGATTGTGCCCTTCCCCCACCAGTATGCGGAGGCACAAGTCGTCTCTGGTGTAGAATATACAGGATACTGTACTTTTCTTGTTCTGTACTGTGCAACCTCCTACTCCTTATGCTTGAAGGCATAATTTGAGGTATTGATGCAATGTTGCTAGCACTTATAAGAACTCGGCAAAATCATACTGACCTGCCCGTGTCTTTTATTCTCATTTTACATTTGTGCCACATGAAGCTGACCAAAGAAATCAAACTTTCTAAATGAAAGCGTGGAGACATTGTTCAAAAGCAGACTTCCTTTTATAGAGGTAGTAGCAAAGTGCGGGATACAAGCACTGGTGCCTAATGAAAGCTGGAACTGTAAAAAGTTGACCATGTAAATTTTAAAGTGTATAAGGCTAACCTAATGGCATGTGTGTGTCCAGCTTTCTATGAGCAGGAAGAACTAATATATTCTCTCTTGTAGATGAGTGGCATGTTTGAAACCTGGTTGGAAAGCCTGGTGGCCGCTCTTCAGGAGAGAGAGAAGGATGCTAATGTGGTGGTGGTGGACTGGCTTGGACTTGCCCATCAGCTCTATACTGATGCTGTGAACAACACAAAGGTGGTTGGAAAGGCCGTTGCAAGGGTGCTCAACTGGTTACAGGTAAAACTTGTAATAATGGCCCCTGTGTTGTAGTGTACCGTATCATTCAGTTTGCACACGGGAACAGAACGTATGCCAGTTCTAGCACTTCCGGAATGTGAAAGATGGTGGTGTAATTCTTGTCCTCAGTTCAGCGGCACGGTCAAGCACCAAGATGTGCCAAATTCAAACCTTGTGTAAGCATGAGGAACTCTTAAGCGATTCTGTTCCTGCTTTAGTGAAGATACATCTGCTTACATTAGGATTGGAGTTCCGGTCAATGGGATGACCTTATCTAATGCTACAGACAAGAGCAGATATACAGTGCTTACTGAATTTAAAGTTTAAACTCTTCACTTCACTAAGGCCCAAGTGTTCAAGTGGTGACCAGTGATTTGAGTGCCTCCATTTGCGGATGTCCAGATTGGGCATGTGTTCAGAGGTGCTGAGCAACAGTGTTGGAACTGGGGGGGGGGGGGGGGCATTTTTAACATGGGTGTAGTTTGGGGGGCAGGGGACAGTATTGCCCTCCAAACTGAGCTGATCCCCACCACAAAGCACAGCCCCTGCCAGTGCCTCTCCACGCCTGCCCGAGGCTTGCCGTTTGGGGGGTGCAATGCTGCCCCCTGCCCGAGGCTTGCCGTTTGGGGGGTGCAATGCTGCCCCCTGCCCTCCCCAAACTATGCCCATGTTAAAGTGACGGGCATGGCCCTGTGGCCCCCCACGTTCCAGTGCCGATGGGCCCTCCCCACTTCTACAAATGTTCCAGTGCCCTTGGTGCTGAGTACCTGCAGAACTAATTGACTTCAGTTGGAATTTGGGTGCTCAGACCTCTGAAAAATCAGGCTCAAGATGTCAAGTTAGGCATCCAAAAATCAGTACAATTTCTGGAAAAAACGAAAGCTAACCTGCTAATGCTGATACTAAGTTACTAAACCTGTAGGGCTACAAAGCAAAACTCTGAATGCACTGAAGCCCAGACTCATCACTCCAGATAGTTTTTCCAAAGCATACCTTTACTGTGACTGAAGGCTAGAAACAAGAAGGGACTGACTAGTCTCCAAACTACTGAATCATCTTGCCAGTGTCTTGAGAAAACATAACAGTTGGAGGTATGATCCAAAACCACTTTTACACTGGGGATGTGTAGACCTGAACTTTCCAGTTTGAGTCCCTCTGCTAGATAGGAGTTATCAACTCTCTTGAAAATATGAACAAACTTAATTATTTCTACACTTGCAGGAAAAGCAGAACCTCCTGTTTGAGAACGTCCACTTAATTGGGTACAGTCTTGGTGCCCATGCTGCTGGATATGCTGGTAACTATGCACATGGAACAATAGGCAGAATTACAGGTAAGGCTGTCCTAAAACTACTACAATGCAATACTTCCGTCGTCTCCTGCAATGTTAATGGGATTGTCAGAACCTCAAAATCCTAACTGCTTTGTTGAGATGTCTTACTCTGGGGTTAGTAATAATTAAAGTATCCAACTTTTCTTTTGTAATTCTCCAGTCAGACACTCCTCACTGATGGTTTTTCTTGCATCTCCAATTCTACCTCCCACTTATTGCCAAAAAAACCCCAAACCCTCGGTGGATTTTTATTAATCCTGACACTTTCTCATGAAAGTGAGACTGCTGGCACAGACTGGCATCAGGTCTCACCTAGGTGTGCAAGCTAAACTCTGATTCACTCAAATGCCCTCAGACACATCCCTGCTATCAAAATTCTAAATCTCGGGGTAGACATGGCTTACAAGCCAGCCTAAGCGAGAGAGCCATTTGCTTCCCTTTTGGCCAACATCAGATTTTAAACGCTGCCCTTCCTTTGTGAAGAGCTACTGTGTCCCTCCATAACTCGCTTCCTAGTAAAGTGCCATTGGTTCAGAAAGCCAGTACTCTAAAGAGAAACTTTCATCTTTCCATGTGGAATGATTTGGATCTTGTACAGATTATTGTGGTGAACAGAACATTGTTCTGATTGTACAGAACATGGTGGGGAGGGCCGCATTTGAGAACAGGACGTTCCCCGCAATAAAGTGTATAGCTTAATTACCTGCTACAGTAGGGATAAGATATGCATCTCCCCATAAACACTCGCAACAAAGCCAATATAAATGACAGGGGAAAGCAGGTAATACCACCATTTGAATAAACTAGTATTTAAAGTTAATAAACAGTGGAAATTTACATTTCCACCTGGTGAACTCCAATTGTCAATAGTCCTCAATTAAGAGACAACTAGGTTAATTTTTATTAGATACGGCAAAATAGGGGAGTGGGTAGTAGTGGCTTATAACTAGGGTCCTACCAAATTCACGGCTGTGAAAAATGTGTCTCGGACTGTGAAATCTGGTCTTTTGTGTGCATTTACCCTATACTATGAAGATTTCACAGGGGAAGACCGGTGTTTCTCAAGTTGGGGGGTCCTGACCCAAAACAGAGTACTCTTACTTCTGCACTGCTGCCTTCAGAGCTGGGTGGCCAGAGCGTGGCGGCTGCTAACGAGGGCCCAGCTCTGCAGGCAGCGGCGCAGAAGTAAGGGTGGCTATACCATACCGTGCCATCCTTGCTTCTGCTGGCGGTAGCTCTGCCTTCACAGCTGGGCTCCTAGCCAGCAGCCACCACTCTCCAGCTGCCCAGCTCTGAAAGCAATGTAGCCACCAGCAGCTGCGCAGAATTAAGGGTAGCAGTATTGCAACCCACCCCCTCCCCCCCAATCCTTTTTGGGTCAGGACCCTTACAATTCCAACCCTGACGTTTCAGATTTAAATAGCTGAACTCATGACATTAATGACTTTTTAAATCCACTGACCATGAAATTGACTAAAATGGACTGTGAATTTGGTAGGGCCCTATTTATAACCAGATCCCTCACATTAAAAATTGCCAAAGTGCAGGATGGTTCAGACAAAACATTCTGGTTTTGACCCATCTTTAATTCTTAGTCTTAGCCAGCTACTCTTGTCTAGACCTTATTACCATAAGGAAACTTCCTATTGTCCAAGGTATCAATATGGAATTACTAATAGGAATTTGGATCACTTGAACACTGGGAAAGGTCAATCGTTCAGATTTTCTTCACTACCTCTCTCTCTTCTTCCCCACCAGTCTCTCCTCGGCCAATTTACCTTCTGGAGTCTGCAGTGGTTCCTCTCCCCTATAGAAATTCATGCTTCATAGACTGTCTCCTGTGCCCCTCCTATACTAATGAACCTGTCTCCAAGTCACATGTCTTATGCCCCTACATGGAAAATCTCAACTAACACACCTACCCCTGGAAGTTACCTTGTGTTGGAGTTACTATTTATGCAGGGTATTACTACAATGCTAATTTAACCATAAATTCCTTTATTAAATCCAAAGGCCAAATGGTATTTATACAATTGCTGTAAACATGCCTAAATAAGTTATTACATCCAAACAGTAACAAAATGTTGATAAGCATTTGATCAAGATACTACAACAGGCTAAATCCAGGACTGCTTAAATCCATATTGGTTGGCTCCAATGTGGTCAGGCAGGTATTCGCAATGAACCCTTTAAGAGTTTACTTTTTTATACCCTTTAACAAGAGATGTCATTGCCAATTATTGACGTCAGCTAAAAACAAATTTGAGACCGTTTACCCTCATTTCCAGTCTCAGTCCAGATAAGATTTACAACCACCTTTCTCCAAGGCTATTCCTCTCCTCCTCCTTTCTGACAAACATTTTTTTTCTGTTGCACCTGGGTTCACATAGGCCCTAATTTTTGAGATAACACTGGTATATGGGGTGGGAAGATCCACGTTGGCTCATTTTAAGACAGAGAATCTGTCTTATTTAAAACCATCTGCAGTCATCGCTATCAGTCAGAGACCTTCTTTTTAGAAACTTCCCTTATTTCATTAGTTACTTTGTGCACCTGCCACCCTCCCTACTTATAACTCGTTACTTTCAAGGCCTTTCTCTTAGTTGCTAGTTAGGGCCTTTCTTTACAACACATTTCTTTAACCAAATTTAAGCTTAACTTTAATCCTCTAGTTTTATATCCATTCTACACCATGTGAAGGGATAATAAAGTGTCCTACAGGGTAGGCCTTCACTTGTTCAATCCACTGCTCACTCACTCAACTCCTATTGAAGTTCAGATTTAGCCCTGAATACTTAAGCAGTAAGACTGATGCATTTCAGAACTGTATCAACACAAACGTCCTCCTTTCATGACCTGAATAATGGCTAAACATAAATGACCAGCTTTCTCTCCTGGTGATCAGACACCTCGTGGTGGTACCTGCTCTGGTGTGCCACACCATTGGATCCCTCTAATACAGACTCACAAGTGCCTAGTGGCTGGAGTGTCCAGCACCATGGAGACTTCACAATTTTTTTTTTTTTTGGACTTTTGTTCTTTGCATCACAGCTGCTAACAGCAGCAGTTTTGAAGAAATGTCCCTTAATAACTTGAAGATTCCAGATACTAATGCACACTCTCACTCCACGTGACATTGATTGAATGAAAACTTGATACTTGGTTTTCTAGATTGTACTCTGTGGGGTAGGGTCTGGTTGTGTCACACTCTGCTAGGAAAGTACCTAGCAGATTTTTTGCTGCTGCTGTATTGTGCACTCTGCTTAACAGGTTTGGATCCAGCTGGCCCTATGTTTGAAGGAGCTGATCCTCAGAGACGTCTCTCCCCTGATGATGCAGACTTTGTGGACGTTCTTCATACGTTTACGAAGGAAACACTGGGTGTCAGCATTGGGATCCAGATGCCTGTGGGTCACATTGACGTCTATCCCAACGGGGGAGATTTCCAGCCTGGTTGTGGATTAAGTGATGTTTTGGGAGCAATCGCATATGGGAGTAAGTTCTTATTTTTTCCTATTTAATAATTGACTGGGAGGAAGGGGATGGGAAGAGAAGAGACTCCCACCTTACATAGGCAGGTGTATTGGAATAATAGTTACAACCTAACAAGAGGTAGTTCTCCATCTAAGCTGTCTTTAGACTGCCCTCTCCTCTTGAAATCAGTAAATCTGGTGTTAATCATGATGAGCTGAAAGATGAATTTTTACTCCAGGCCACATTATACTGGCTCTGAAGTCTTGCCTTCCATCTCTGCAGCTAAATGTGTTTGAACAAAAGTCTGTCAGCTTTAAATGTCGTGTATTAACATCTCGTTGTTTTTCACTGAAAAGTGGTTTTGGTCAGACTTAACTTTTGTGTTGAACTACAATTAATCTAACTCACTAACTTGTGCAGCAGATTGTAGGTGTTGGGGTGGTGAATGCTAAATTGCTGAAGTCTATCTTCCCCCCGCCACAACTTTCTCTATTGAGCTAGATATTGGGGATGTGGTTAGATGTGAACATGAGCGAGCTGTACACCTCTTCGTGGACTCCCTTGTGAACCAAGATAAGCAGAGCTTCGCCTTTCAGTGCACCGACTCCAGTCGTTTCAAGAAGGGAATCTGCCTGAGCTGTCGAAAGAACCGCTGCAATAGCATTGGCTACAATGCCAAGAAAATGAGGAACAAAAGGAACAGCAAGATGTACTTGAAAACCAGAGCGGATATGCCTTACAGAGGTAGTGTTTTTTTAAGCTACTGGGTACATAACTTTAAAGAGGACATAATATTTTTGTCAGAGAGATGAGTGGGTTATCTGCCTCTGTTTCAGAATGCTTGAATTCAGATTTAGAATTTGGAGAGCTTAGCAGAACCTAAAATAGAACAGATGTGTAACAGATAGTGACAATAAAAGCAACTTTCACTAATACACATATGCTTCAGGGTAGCAAGACAGCAACGTTTAGTATTAAGGAAGAACGTTCAAGCTCCACCTCCCCACTAAAACAAATGTTTCCCCGACTACTTCTATAAGAGGACTCTTTCAACAGTGTTCCTCTGTGTGGGGACGGTAAAAGATTGCTATGATTCTGCTGCAACACAAGGCTCAGGGAGTGCTCGAAGAGTAGAATGGTCCTAGAGTTCCATCTGTGGCTGAGTAATTATCAGCTTTCTAATCTGAGCTAAGGCTCATAGGTACTTGTATGGGTGATCTTGTCTCTGCCAACAGGCACCATCTTGCAAACCATGACTTGTCATGGAATAAACAATGCCCTCTATTCACAAACTGGGCTCTGTGCTTGTCTCTCTTCAGTTTACCATTATCAGATGAAAATGCACATCTTCAGCTACAAAAGCTTAGGAGAAACAGAACCCACCTTCTCAGTTATCCTTCATGGTACCAATGGCGAGTCTCAACCCCTCTCTCTGGAAATGTAAGTGGAGTACAATTGACTCATCTCCCTATTTTGATGAGGACAGTGGGAAGGACTCATGGGACTAGAAGCAACAGTTAACAATAAAAGTAGAATTGAGAGAGAATTATTGCTATTGTTGCAATTGACTCTAATATCCAAAGATCTGCTGAATGATGGTAAAGCAGCAACCTAATTAGTGCCAGATGTTATACTTGGGGAGATGAACTGCCATGTAGGAGACAGTAGATACACCCTGGGCTGTAAGGGGTAATGTGCCTTGTTTCCACTTTTCTTTTCCCCACCACCAATCTTACCAAAGACCTTCCCTCTGCCTTGCATGATGGAGGATTTTTATGTGGTTTAAAAGCATCCCCCTGTAGTTTGTTCTTGGCAAAAAGAAGGATTACAAAAGGGGTGTATGGTTCCTTCACATCATCCTTCTGGAGGAGTAAGTAAATTGTAACTGCATGTTGCTTTAGGAGGGATGGAAAAAATGGAGGAGCCAAATATGAGACACCCCACAAGGATAACACTAAACCAGATAGCCAGAGTCACTTTCTTTAATCAAACCAGTAACAAACTAGAACCATGATCTTCAACTTCCTGTGTAGAATGCTTGATACTCTCTCAAACTCTTCTTTTCCCAACACAAGTGTTTGAGAAGTACAATAAGTTGCTTCATTAATGAGGAAGAATACTGAGTTTCTGCCTATTTTTCAGACTTGAGCAAATTGGCCTGAATTCTACTAGCCCCTTCCTGGTCTATACTGAAGAAGACATTGGTGACCTCTTAAGGATCAAGCTCACCTGGGAAGGATCATCTCCGTCTTGGTACAATCTGTGGAGAGAGCTCAAAAGTTACTGGTTCCGACCTGATAAATCTTCCAAGGAGCTGCAGATCAGACGTATACGTGTGAAGTCTGGGGAAACTCAACAGAAGTGAGTAGAGCAGTAGTTCTTTAGGGAACACTCGTGACTTGGTGTGAGCTTGAGACTTCTGAATCAAGAGTGTTCAGATGTGTCAAAGACCGCAAGAAAAGTAACTAATTGCTGCGTAGTGATGGAACTTTGATGGTTCAAGCAATGCCTCTGTTAGATGGCACCCTGTAGCATGGCTTACAGTGGTGGACTTCCTGATGCTCTTGTTAGAGAACAGGCTTTCTGTGAAGCTAATGAATTCAGAAGAATGTACATGCCATGTCAAGGACTTGGCTTCTTACTGCCCCTTACATTACCTGTAAAGCACTAAACTAGAGAAGGAAACTAATTATTTTGAATGCCATTCAATAGCAGATTGATCACTGTTAAAACTAATACTCTAGAAGGGAGTGGTGCAACAGCGTTCTTGAAATAGAAATGGCCCAAATCCGACAAGAATTGCCTTCCTGGCAGTGAACAGTGCTAGAACTCTAGCTGACCCCTTCTCTGACTCTAGAAAAGAATGATGGCTATGTGTTCCATTTAGAAACTACTTTCCAAAGTGTATAAATAACTTGCATCAGTTTGTAAGTGTAATGTCTCCATGGCTTCTGACCTTTTCCTTTCAGGTTAACTTTCTGTGCAGAGGATCTTCAGCTGACCAACATATCTCCTGGTAAAGATCTTTGGTTTGTGAAATGTAGAGATGGCTGGCCAACAAAAAACCGAACAAGGTAGGGTTTAATTAAATGCTTACCTTTTGAAATCCTATTGTCTAAGGCATTAGGCTATGTATAATGAGGACAAGTATAACCAGATTGACACTAAAATTTCAGTAAGTGGGGAGAAGTTTGAAACAGATGTTCTTATAGTCTTGAGCAAGAAAGCTTAATAAAACTCAGTGGACTCCTAATTACTAAAGGTGTGTTAATGAAAACTCAGCTGGCCCATTAGGGCTATATAACCCCTTCTACAAAAGAGGTACTCTAAACTCTAGTGCACCCTCCTGATCAATTAGGATTGCTACTGCAGTGTGACTTTAAATCCATCGAGTGTTAAGTAGTGAGGATTTGATGACTCCAACTATCCTATGTTTAAAAAAAAAAAGTTCAAAATTTGTTCTAGATACACTAGAGGTGAACTTGGTCTAGTCCAAGATGTAAAAGAAGAGTCTGTCCAACACTAACATTTTGCATTTTGATTAAAGCTTTTGCAAACGCTGTAACAAAGCCCCGTGTAAAAAGTTTGCTTGCAGTTGCCTCAGATGGCAGATTTCTGTCTTTGAGCAATCTCAGATGGTATCTAGTGCCAGATTTGACAGAAATAGTGAATTGCTCTTAGTGTTGCTACTGTGTGTATTAAGGATTTCACAAATGAAATTGTGCAAAGTCCAATATAAAATTCTCCTGGGAAAAGAATTGGAGAATGTGCTAGCTGAAACACATACCCAGAGCTACCCAGAAGGTACAAAGGCAGGCTGCAGTAATGCACTTCCCAGTAATGCCTACATAGCAGAAGGATAGCTGGCAAACCCTGCTCTTCCTCATGGTGTAAATTCACTTCTGGAATTACTGCTTTGGGGCTGGAACCTACCACCCTTCCTCATGTGATGTAGTAGCTTACTTGACAAGTAAGCAGATTGAGTATTAATGGATGGGCAGAGTCTGGCCCTCAGGATATATCTACATTGCAATTAAACACCTGTGGCTGGCCCATGTCAGCTGACTTGGGTTTATGGGGCTTGGGCTACAGGGCTGTTTAACTGTGAGGTAGACATTCAAGTTTGGGCTGGAGCCTGGGCTCTGGGACCCTGCAAGGGGGAAGGTCCCAGCCTTGTCTGAATGTCTACACCACAATTAAACAGCTCCTTAGCCTGAGTCAGTTGATATGGGCTAGCCACAGGTGTTTAATTGCAATGTAGATATACCCTCAGTGAGTTGGAGTTAGATAGATTTGTAGGTCAATGTATCAATCCATCCTTGAATACAATTGAATGTGCAGGCTCTAGAGTCAAAGATCTTAAACATATAGTTTGTCTGTTAGTAATTACCTTTTTGCCTTGCGTCACAGCCATCTGCAAGTTTGTCTAAATGCATGTTACACTTGGTACAAGTTGGAGTTCCCATAAAAGGTTCCAGCTCTCTGAAAGTTATTGTAGGAAAAGGTTCCAAATAGGACAAAATACTAAACTGCACCTAGTCTTCAGCCTGTCTCACCGGTCCATGGTTTGCTTTCTTACTAACCCATGTTACAATTTTGAACTTAAAAATAAAAAAAAGCAACCTTTGCATTTTACCAGGTATTTCTTCCTATCATCCATTTCTCCCCTTTCTTTCCTTAGATCAGCTTTGAATCTGCACTGAAGGTTTTTCTGAAGACTTGCACAAAAGGACCTAACTATCCAAAACATATGAGAAGACTACTGCAGAAAATTACATAGGTGGAGAGACATTTATGCAGTTTGTCTTAGTACCACTTACTATTCAGGACAGAAAACTCTGTCTTGAACCGATGCAGGCAATATTTCTGGTGAGGAGTGATCCATATGCATTCAGTTGCTGTCCTAGAATAACTTATTAAAATTACTAAACTCATCTTACTTAGGGGAGTCTGGTTTATGTGCATTAACCTACTTTTCCTGATCGGTGGTATGCTCTGCATAGTCTATTCCCAATTGTCCCAGTAAATTGGGACTATCAACAAAGTTGAGATAAATCTGTGCCTTGGTTCTAGTCTATGTGCCATAGAAGTCAAGGGGAAATTGATTTATCTGATCAGAATAGCTGAATACAAAGCTACTGAGAATGCATGACCGTGTCTGTATAGCTTAGGGGGACTACAGAATCTAAAATTGCACTAGATGATGTGGAAGAAGGGGTAGACCAAACCAGCAAAGGGTAAAAAGTCTAAAGTAGTCTCTCCTAACTTCCATCTTCTCTCCATTCTGTCCTTTGCTTTTCCCAGAGACCATTACTGTAGATCTGCCGGATAGTGTAGTACACATGGCTAATCTTGTAAAAAAGTCCAATACTCCATCCCACTCTGTTCTATAGAGAAAGCAGATCCAAATATGTACTGAAGTTATTGGCAGCTACTTTCCTTCAAAATGTTTGTTCTGATAAATGTCAGTATTTTATTTCAACAAGGACTATCCAGTACTTGCTTCATGCAGATTGTATCCTGAAGAATATAGAAGGGCAACAGCCATCTACTTACTGTATACTTGGAAGATATCTGTACTGCTTCAGGCAAACTTGACATTCAATGATATGTATTTTGAGGATGCATTCACCTCTGCAAACTGAACTTGAATGCAACTGCAGCAGCAAGGCACATTTTAAGATTTTGTGTGAGTAAGTGCACACACATGCACTTGACGGGGTTTGGGTACTAAATTAACCTACAACATAGAACCATGCTCCCCCCCCCCAAAAAAAAAAAAGTATTTTAAAGTTATTTTTATTCCATGATTCCAGAGAAGCTTGGTTTTGTAATGGAATTAATCTAATCCACTCTGCAGGAATCTACTGTTCTGACTAGGCCCAATTCTTGCAGGTACTCTCTGCTTAGGCCAGAGGTGACCTGACTGTCTTTTCAGGGGTGGGGGCATTTTAATATATTTGGGATCACTCTTGGCTTTGGTGTTAAAGTGCAATGCTTTCTACACAAACACCAAAAGCTGCTATGAGCCTGATGCTTTAAGTTATGAAGACCATCATCAGCTAGGTCTCTTTAAAGGGCCAACAAGAGTGTGTTAGTTTGGCTTCTTTCTTAGTGTCTCATTCCAACCAAAGTTAAAATTAACCATACACATTTGGAGAATAGTGTGATGTTTGTCTTGGTTATGTACAGTCTTCAATAATTGAAGCCTCTGGTAACTATCTGTGATTTGTCGCCCATATATTTATACAATGGTCTTGAAGCTCTATTTGTATATTACGGTTTTTGTACCACGTGGAACGCTATTTATTTCTCAAATGTACATATGTAAAAAGTTTAAACTTTGCTTTGGAGTAACAGTTTTTATAAACTTTAAGCAGAAAAATAAACAAGTCTCTTGTAGAAATAAGTTGCATAGTTTGTAATTCTGGGAAAGGAAAACACCCTGTAAGTTGGCCATGAAATCTTTCTGCCTGTTTTATTCAAACTTATAAACCATACAGATCAAACGCTGTTGCCAGTGAAGTCATTGAGAACAGGATGTGGTTGATAAATTCCGAGGCCAGCATGAAGTTTGTGATCATCTAGTCTGACTTCCTGTATAACTTACACCATAAAACTACTCCAAAATAATTCCCAGAGTTTTTTAGCATAACATCCAATCTTAATTTAAGACTTCAGTAATGTAAAATCCAAGACATTACTTACTGTTAAATTTATGCCTTATTTCCAGTCTGACTTTGTCTAGCTTAAACTATGGTGTTTGAGATCAGTGAACATAAGGGTAATGCTAGCCATTGGGAACAGGGGCAAGGAAATACACATTCTACTCCATCTCCATTGCAAAGTTTTCCATACTTTAGTGAGGATAGCTTGGGTGCTCTCTGCTATAACTTTGCCTGCATTTAGATTAGACTCTCTCACTGAAGTGAAGTTATTACACTTGCTTTAAGAAAAAAAAGCACAGTCTAGACAAGTTACTGCAGCAGGACAATTTGAGACTTCAGCCATTCTAAACACCCTCATTTACATTCCTCCAAATTAAAAAAAAAATGCTATTGACAATGTTCTGTAACAAACCTGCATTGCCAAAAGGCTGACCTTCCCTTTGAAAAGGAACTGCAAAGTGAGTGTGTTCTGAATTTGCACATCTGTATGTTAAAAACGGGAGGTATGGTTGATTATGTAAAGAAAATAGCTACTTTTTGGAAAGGTAGCATAGAAATGATCAAGTAAGGTGGCTTTTCAATGTACATGCTTAGAATCAATCTTCATCCAACTGACAACTCTCTTGTAACAGTGCCACACAGAATTCCCCAGAGTAACCTCGACTCACCCCAGTTTGAGCCCCAATACCAGATTGTTAGCAGGAGTACTTCAGATTTTCTCCTTATCTAGATGTTACAGCGGGCAAGTACCATCTCCTCCCATGCAGACAGTTCCCAAATGATAGAGCAAAATCAATGCCTTGAATTGAAGTGGAAGCCAGTACTGGTGTTTAGCACTGGAAACCATGGAGAATATGCTACACAGATTTTCCACAAGTGAAGTTCCAAAGGTAGCCTCACATGTAGCATATTGCAATAATCTGAGGAACTGAAGGTTATGATCTTGAAACAACAATGGTAATGAGTTGTGATTTTACTCCTGCTAGAATGTATAAATCCCAACAGAAATTATACAGTTCACTGGCTTCCAAGGAATTTTTTCTAGCCTGGTAGTGAACACACAAAATTTAGCAAATTTTAAAATCTGTGCGAAAGTGTCAGCAAACTTTATACTGCAGATAAGAAAGGATATAACAGTCTTTCCTAAGGCCTTGGCTACATTACAAAGTTTTGTCGGCAAAAGTTATGCCACTTTAATTAGAATGCTTTAATTGTAACTGCAGTTACATGTCCACACTAGCAGCTCTTGCATCGACAGAGAACAGTGCACTGTGGTAGCTCTCCCACTGTGCAACAAGCCGCAGGGTGCTTTGGGCAGGGTTTGCAATACCTCATGGGGCAGGTACAGCGTCACATGATGCAGATTTCTCAATCTCATTGTTTCAGGGGTGTTTTAGTAGATTGGCAGCCGCTTTTCAACTGAAGTGTGTGCAGGGAGGGAGAGGAGAGCGGTGTGTTTGGGAGGAGAGGGGTCAACCAACAGGTAGGGGAAAGGGGACCCCAACCCCATGTCAGCTCCCAGCTCTGCTGCTCAGCACAGCAGTCTTCCCCAAGCAGCCCGCTCTGCCTGCCTGTGGTTCTGTGATTCCCTGGGCGTTCTCCTACGGGAGTGGCATCCCCGGTGTTCCTAGTGCAGGGGAAAACAGCAGTATTCCACCTTAATGATTTGCACTCTTTGTTCCCAGAACAGAGCAGCACCCACAGTTGTCAGATGGGGCGCATGCCTGCAGGGAAGCAGAGATCTAAACAGTAAGCAGAGCGGTCACTGCAGGCATTGTGGGATGCTGGTGGAAGCCAATTATGTTGACAAAACAAACAGCAGTGTACGCGGACGCTTTGTCGCTTTAACTTTGCCGCAAAAAGCTTTATGCCTCTCATTGAGGTGGTTTTATTTTGTAAGCAAAACAGCAGAGTTTTGCCACCAAAAGTAGTTTTGCAGTGTGTACACCCCCTTCCCCCTATTTTGCTGACAAAACTTTGTAGTATAGATAAGGCCTAAACAAGAACTGACCCAGACTCCAAACTTAGTCAAATGGAATCAGATCTCTTTCTGAGGTTTGAAAAAAGAATATACTGTTGTACATCCCTACCATTTTTGTTCTAAGACACTGCAAAACGTTTCACCCAGCTCTAGGAGTTTCATGGCCAGCATTACAAAGAAGATATAGAAGGCAGAGTATTCCAAGTAAATTCCTTCTGACACAGATTGCCACAAGAAGGAAAATTGAAGAGGGGTTGAAGGGATAACATTCTTGTTACTAACATAAGATGCCACCAATAAATTCTTTCCTGGTCACACTATTCTGTCTCTTATAATCAGTGATCCTAGTTATAAAGGGATGGGCAAATTGGTTGAGATAAAAAAAAGAAACTACCCAATACTTGTACCAAAGCCAAGTCTGGTTAAATTTTTCATGTGCAGCCTCCTTTTGGCTAACAAAATATCAACAGCAAGGATGCTTTTAGTTTCAGCTGAGCAAAATATACCTCAAGAAGTGGAGTACCTTGTGTAACATTATCTAATTAAAATATGACCACGCAAATCATTGTTGCTACCACTGTTCTATAATTGAAACAAATCTTATACAAAGTGTGACACATGGCCAGAAAGGGTTAAGCAGTTTGCAGGCTAAATGACCCAAAGCCAACCTTTAGAGACATGTTAGAAGAGTATGCAAATGGTAATTAGGGCCATTCCATGGTAGATAGGCTAGAAATTTGAAATGCAAACCTATATTGTTAGAGGTGATACTAATTGTATGTGTGTACTCATGTCTTGTTAAAGGTTAGCCATGTAAACAGACAGTTCCTGTCTGCCACTATAGCTATTAATTCAGAGCATGTTGGGTGCAATAATGTCATTGTCTATATGTCTCTTTGAAGTTTATGACAGACTGCTTAATGAATACATTGCCTTATGTTAATTTGTGTAACTAATTACTGGTGGTGCTTAGGAAATAAGTCTCCATAATTGCCTATTGTTCACTGAAGGACTCCAACCTGTCAAAGGCCTGAAACTGTATAAAAAAGGGCTAGGGTCGTCATCCTTTTTCATCTCATATCTACTTGATGCTTCATGCAGGGGAAGCTTAAGCCCAACATTGAGATCTCCAGTCCTAACCTGGAATCACCCTGAATATAAGCATCATATGTATACTGATCTTTTAACCAACACTCTCACTCTTTTCTTTTTTTAATAAATGTTAGTTTAGTTAATAAGAATTGGCTGTAAGCGTGTACTCAGGTGAGATCTGGAATATTCATTAACCTGGGAGGTAATGTGTCTGATCCTTCGGGATTGGTAGAACTTTCTTATATGATGAATAAGATTTCCAGTAATCATCATATTTGACTTGGGTGTCTGGGTTGAGGACTGAGGCTGGGTTGCTTTAAGGGAACTATGTTGTTGGCTTCTGGGTAACCAGTGAGGTTACTATAGAAGCTGTTTTGTGCTGGCTTGGTAAATCTAAGTATTGGAATATCTGCCAGCTTTGGAGATCGTCTGCCCCATTCTTTGCAGTTCACCATAATTGAGTAGCCTCAGTGGGCTCCCCTGGGACTCTGGTCACACCTTGAGATCACCCTTATTAGTCATTTTCCTCTCAGAAGAGACTACCCCAGAGTATCCTGAAATGTTAGGCAGAAGAGGACCTGTGTTTTTACAGATCTCCATGAAGCAACCACATTTTGTTATTCCCTAGAATGATCTGTTACGGTCATCTTGTGGGAAAGCCCACTTAATAATACATGTACAACCATAGATCTCAAATAAATATCAAATAATGCTAGCAATTGTGCTATAAAGTATATTAATATTGACACATCTATTTTACAGATGTGTAAATTAAGGCAGAGTTCACTGGCCTCAGTCAAATGCATTTGTTGGTCTCAGAACTATCAAACAGGAATCCACATGGCAAGACCTACCACCATAATGGGTATTAACTTGCACCACTGCAAAAAGTCTCAGAAGAGAGGCCAAGAACTGACTGGGCATGGAGAATGGTAGTGCTTCCTGGATAGGATTGAGGCACATTGGATGGGAACCTTTCAGCGCTGTCTCCTGTTCTGTGGGTAAAGTAATGCCCAGTGCTGTTAACCCAGCATCTTTCAGAGAGTTGTGACAAAGTTCCTCCTCTATCTTGGTGGGTCCTGCGCTTATTGGCGGATTTTCTTGCCTCAGAGATTCACCATGTGGGTTGGGGAACAACCCAGAGACCTTCCCCTCTGGAAGAACCCACAGCCCAGGTTAATTGGGAGGTTTGGGGGGAACCCGGGCCCACCCTCTAATCTGGGTTCCAGCCCAGGGCCCTGTGGACTGCAGCAGTCTATAGTGCTTCCTGTAACAGCTGCATGACAGCTACAACTCCCTGGGCTACTTCCCCATGTCCTCCTCCAAACACCTTCCTTATTCTCACCACAGGACCTTCCTCCTGGTGTCTGATAACGCTTGTGCTCCTCAGTCCTCCAGCAGCACACCCTCTCAGTTCCTTGCACCTCTTGCTCCCAGCTCCTCACACTCACACCACAAACTGAAGTGAGCTCCTTTTAAAACCCAGATGCCCTGATTAGCCTGCCTTAATTGATTCTAGCAGCTTCTTAATTGGCTCCAGGTGTTCTAATTAGCCTGCCTGCCTTAACTGGTTCTAGCAGGTTCCTGATTACTCTAGTGCAGCCCCTGCTCTGGTCACTCAGGGAACAGAAAACTACTCATCCAGTGACCAGTATATTTGCCCTCTAC